CGAGATACATATACGTGATCATAAGTGGGCGGTGCCACGCCCATTTTCCAAAATTTTATCATAAACGTATTTCCTGGCAAAGAATTGTTGCAACCATCATTTTGAATAAATTAGCTTTAATATTTACTGATTTATCGAGGATTTCGTATTTCTCGAAATTACCGTTATATAGGATGTGGGCGTGGTTATTGTCCGATTTTAAAAATTTTCGGCCATTTGGTATGCTGTACCAGGGCCAACAACTGTGCCAAGTTTGGAATAAATTGATGCAGCGGTTACCAAGATATACACATGTAATCATAAGTGGGCGTGGCTACGCCCATTTTCAAAAAAATTTTAATATTCTTATTTTTCGTCTAAAATTTATTATAAATATCAATTTTCAGTGAATTATCTTCAGAAGTTACTAAAATATCGCAGTTTTTGTATTTCTGAAAATTGCCGTTATATGGGAGGTAGGCGTGGTTATTGTCCGATTTTGCCCATTTTTAATACCATCCGTCCTACGCCCGAAAGAAGTACACGTACAAAGTTTCGTTAAGATATCTTAATTTTTACTCGAGTTATCGTGTGCATAGACGGACGGACAGACGGACGGACAGACAGTCACCGCTTAATCGATTTCTCTTTTCATTCTGATCATTTATGTATACATTTGTCTATATCTATCTCGATTCGTTTTGCCTGTTACAAACAACCGTTATGTGAACAAAGTTATAATACCCTTGTGCACAAGTGTGCTCGGGTATAAAAAAGTGAATTGAAATTGGAAGGAGGCAAAAAATAATTGATATAGTAAGTGTTTATTGTGCTTGTGCTTGTGTGAATGTGTTTTGTACATACATTTCCATTCTTATTTGAAGTTAGTTTTGTTGTTGCCATTCTTTGGACTAAAAATTTGGTTTTTTGCGTTCCTTTACTTTTCCTGTTATCCTCTTTTAGTGAGCGCATTTTGCTTACGCTCTGGCATTTTGACACTTTTCAGATTTTAGTCTAAAAAGATAAGGAATGAACCTAATATAAGGTGATAGCAGGAGTACAAAAACAAAAATGTACATGTATTTTGTTTTTGCTTTGGCGGCATAAACTCCCAGTAGAAATTTTATGCATACGACATTGCTGTTGGTGGCATGAGCTTGCTGCTGTGTATACATGCCAGTATAAATGAACCTTCATTTCCATTTAACACGCGTGGTTTCTCAGAGCGTATGCGTACTCTAACCATACACTTGTACTACTGCTGTATGCATATGGCTATTAATGTTTCAAACTTACAAAAATGCATTAATGGAACAGTATTAAAGCATTCTTAGAAGATATGTATCCCCGTATGTAAATGCTACTTCTCTGATATACAATCTCTGACATACAAAAAAGTAGCACTTACATATGGGTGTTTCCAGCGGAAGGTCCACCACGACAAAAAAAAATTAAAGTTTTATATCTAACGTATTTACGGGCCGATTTGTCTGCTTTTTAAAATATATACTGGCTATGTAAGTAGAATCATGTTTGCATAAAATGGTCTTCCTAGGTGGTGCCAAGGTCGAGATATTTCGAAAAACCGTATTTATGGTCCGATTTGGTTCGAATTTGGCGTATGTGGTTGAAACATAATAAATCATAGATTTCCAATAAATTGACCCTGAATTGGCGCTGAAGTCAAAATATAAAGTATATTCTACATAAAATACATGTTTTATTTGCGTTAAAAATTCATTTAAAAGCAATATTAACAAAAATATAACGATGGAAATTTATGTCACGTGACGCCACGTCACGTCACGTTTTACACTTGGGGTTGTAAAAGAGAATTGAAACAATTTGCATTAATTCAAAAAACCCTAAAAACAACTACAATTGCTCCAAATCATATTAAAATAAGTTTCATGAAAATAGCCACCCACAATTCGCAGTTTTGCGATTTTGTAAGAAAAGAAAAAATCAACTTCCATTTTATGTCACGTAACGACACTCTCTTTAAATGCTTATATTTCAGGACCAAGCGGTTCGATTGATTTCATATTTCGGTATATATAATAGAGCTAATATAAATATAGAGCTAATTATGTGTTATACAATGGCCCAAAAAAGGTAAAGAAAACAAATGGTATTCCTTTTTTGTATCACATTGAAATCGTACGACTGTCACGTGCGCCACCATGGGAATGCCCATATGCAAATGCATATCTTGTAAAAGCCCGATTGTGCTGAAAATTGTATCGCACAACACATCCGTTCACTAAAATTTTTGTACAAGACTGAAAATATTACAAAAAATCCACTTCAAATTTATCAAGAAATGTACTAAAAACAACGACAACGTAAATTCGCTTGCAATTCACTAGAATTTGAATTTATTCGTGGAAATTCATGACTACGCATGAATTGTTCACACTAATTCACTCATATAGCAAGCATTCTTCATGAACGCGTACAACCGATTTCTACTGGGCTGTCAAAATCTGTAAGTGTGTGTAGAAAGTCAAACAAAATTTTTCAATTTGATATCAGAAGCCGTGCGGCGAAACACATACACAAAATCAGCTGAACTAGTAACACCACCTTGTATAAATCGCGTTGATTTTACCCGAACTTTTTCTTCTGGTAAAATCATGAAAAGTGTCAAGCAATCACTGGTTGACGTTTTTACAGAAAAATGGTTTTTTGTTCCCGTACTTTTTGTTGTTACTCACTTTTTACTCTCACTTCAGAGAGTAATTTTGCTGTTTGACAGTTTTACAGGATTTTTCATGATACAAAAAAGAAGGTAGTTTCAATAAACAACTTTTTGATTAAAAAGCAGATTTTTGACAATAGCTCAATTGTGAAAAATTGGGAGCGGCGTTACGCAATTGTAAGTTTTTTGGTGTGGGAGACTTTATATCTTAAATTTGGGATTATAAATGAAATAGTTGTATTAATATTTACCTTTTAAAAATAATTAATATCTTATCTTAAAAACGTTTAAATTTTACATTAATTCGATAACAACTTGTCAAATCATTATTTTAATATTAGTACAATTTAGTGAACAAGTGAACATATTTTAAAGTTTTTTTAGTGTCCTCATGTCATCTGAGGCTGCGTTTCTTTATACATTCCGGATAATCCCATTTCACAGCCGGAATAAACAGAATACGTTTGAAATATACGTTAACATATCATCAGGAACGTTCTGAAGAATAAGTAAACAAAAAAGTTTATTCCAAACGTTCAGAATGAATAAAGAAATGCAGTAATTGTCTTTGTCCATTTAACAGCAAATGAAATTTTCTTTGGGACCCATGGGCCGTGAAATTTTTCCAGCAACACATATTGTTTTCACATGAAATTTTGACACACCCAAAAGCAAAGTATAAAATAAATAGATGAAAACAAATTTTCGATCAAACGGATTTGTGTAGTTCAGAGGCGTCTTTAGTAAATGTTTTGGAGGCTGCTTTAATATATTATTATATATTTCTTAGCTTTTCTACATGAGAAGAAGTTGAGAGAATGAAGTCTAATATTCTTTTTTGGTCAACTACTATGTTTGATTTCATTTTTTGCAATCATTAGTTCATTTCGCTTGAGGAGTCACAAAGCGATTTTTTCATAGTGCATATCTCTGCAAGTATTTGTGGTAGAGTCCTGGAACTTGGTATGGATATATGTATATCAAGTCAATCTCAAGCTCATGGAAAAACGTGGGTTTATTGGAAAATGCGGCGTGCCACCGTAGAACTTGGAACAGAGGTAAATGAAATCAATCCCAGACCTATGAAAAATCGGGGTATATGAAAACGATCTCGTAGCCATTGAAAAGAGCTAGCGGTATAAGCCATATAAACTAAAATTCTGGTGACGCATAGATACCTCCGTAAGCATTTACCTAGAATACTGAGATGAGGTATTTTTCCAATGCAAACATGTACAGAAAAATGGGCGTGACACCTTCTCGAAAGTAACGTGATCACAGGGTGTATCCCTACAACGATTTTAAGCTAAACCGTGAGGGACTACATTATTCCCAAGACCCACAGGCATAAGCAAGTTTTACGTTCGGCTTGGTTAAGGTTTAACCACTTAACCCCCTTTTGTTTTCGCCGCTACTGAATTCTATAAACTGTCAGCTTTCACACAATTTAAAATGTACATGTGTATTTAAAAATGTCATGAAAATTGTGTTGCTAGCTTCATGTTGCAAGCTTTTTCACAGCGTGAACAGAATACTACTTTGCTGGGGAAATGTTGTGGAATTTCACACTTATTTTTAACAGAAAGAAATTTTGGGCCTGTGCCAATCGGTAACTTTTTTCTCCGTGGTGAGACGGGGTGGTGTACAAATAAATTGAATTTTGCTGTGCCAAATGCAAAGTAAAATTTTGACAGTTGAAAAACCAAACAAACGCTCGTGCGAAAGCTCTATTTTTGTGTTTTGCTGAAATTCTTAAAATTTATATTTATTTTATAATTTGCAAGTAACGTAAGCTTTTTTTATGCTGTTTCAGCTTTCATTTTTATGTTCACTCCTTATTACCGCCAAGCAATATTATGTGTATACATGCTTATAAGCTGTCAAAATTGTACCTAGCCCCATGAGCTAGGTAAAATTTTGACGTTCGTATTCACCACGAGAAGTGTCAAATTTTTACTTTGATCCGTCAAAATTTTCTATTTTCTATCAATTGGCACAGGGCCTTTATATGCAATTTAACACCTTTTTCACGTGAAACAAGAACAAAATACCATGCTTAAGAACAAAATATTTTTAAATTGACAAAAAATAAATAAAAAAATTTGAAGGATTTTAGATATGGTATGGTAGCACGAAATGTCACAATCTGCTTAATTGTCAGGTTGTTAATATGGCGACGAAAGTGACAATGGAACTACCTTGTTTTTTGTATCATGGGATTTTTCACGAAAAGTATTGGATCAGAGCTAAGAGCTATTATTTCACCATGTCATGGATGATACTGCAGCGACGTTGTTAAAGTAAAATCAATAGTACTTACATTTTCATGATAAAAAACGGATGGCACGCTCTGAACGCGTGTTAGTCGAGCTTTCAGTAATCTAGATGCACGTGCGAGAGACATTTTCCAGATAGCAAAACCAAACCAAAAATTTTATTAAACACAGTTATGAAATCTTACTCTTTAAAAGTTGTTTGTTGCGTTTAGAGATAGAGATGCAAACTATGCATCGATGTTCTCAAAACACCGATGTTTCGTCCAAAAATATCGATGTTTTGCAGGACGATAGATCGACTAGAAAAGGGAAAAACATTGATGGTGCAACCATCATTCCGGACTTTGTGCATTCATACCACAGTATACCAGTAGAAAAGGTTTTTGTGTCTGTAGCTGTTTCGTGGTGAAAGTCCTTTATGGGGACCAAATTTCCCCACAAGAAATTGAGCGCATGGTTGCTTTTGCGTCCGAAAAGAATTAATATTAGAAAACCTTTAAAAAAGTCTAAGGAAATACAATTATATGCAACTAAAAATAATCACAATAATTTCCACTTATTAGTTAATGTGATAATCATGTGTAAAAACTCTTTTCAACTATTATTTTTTACAAAATAAATTTGCGGATCAGTTTGCTCTGAGCGCTTGTGTTGTTTACCAAGAAAGTGCAGCCCTGTTGGTTTCTATTTCTGTATCGCATTGCGGTGAGTTTCTATTTCTTGGTAATTCGGTTTGTAAAATGGCAACAAATTATTAAAATTTATTTATTTGATGTGTACAAGATTTCATTAATGCATTTTTTGGGTACTGTTTATGAATTTGTACAACGATTTTGGGTTGCTGTGCCCAAACGCGTGAATCGAATCAAAAAATTTTTACACACTTGTAGACAACAGTTCACGCTTTATTACAAAAATTTAATTTACTAAGACTGTGCACTAATTACCAATAATGTTGGTTGGAAATATGGTATTTGTTGCAAATTTTTCTTACAAATTTGTATATACATTTTTATATACCAGATATTTTTATAAAACACCAAAATAGACATCACTGGGGCGGCAGCCCCAGGTTTACCACACAGAAAGGGAATTCTAGTTACCTCATACTTTCCCAAGTTATGTCACACAGAAAGGAGAATTCTACGTAGTAAGGGTTATAATCCCTAAGCGCGGCCGAAGGCCTCCTACGCAGAAAGGTGTTCTCTGCAAAAGATGTTCAGCCCCCCTTCTTCGGACGCAAGTTTAACTTTGTTTTTTCCTTGCAAAAACGCTAAAATTCCCCTATTTTCAAACAGCTCCCCAGAGGTCTGTGGGAGGGGTTGGGTGGGGAGGGGTGACTTTTCATAAAGCGGCGTCAATCCTCTTTCGTTTAGGGGGGATTTGTGGGGCCCACACCACCTCCTCCTCCGCCCCCACCCCTAAATCGTTGTACAAATAGCTAAACATTTCCCAATTTTTTTGTATTTTCAGACTATTAATTACAAGCACAGCATCATCAACGGTCATAAGGTTAGTTAATTGTATATCTTTGTTCGTCGACATTATAGTCATCATTGCAGGCTATTGTTGCAGAACAAAACGCCGCAACCACTGCTGTGGTAAATATGTTCCAGCAGAGCTGCCCACCGCCGTCGGTGTAATGATTTCGATAGCTGAACAAACGCCATCTCCTGGGCATTCCCACAGCTTGCCGACTCTAGCTATTATATCACGTGTGAATGCAACTGCGGCTTAATTTGGTTATTAATAGTGCAATAGTACCATGTCATTGGCAAAAACACTAAGGGCTGCTGGCAAATATAGGTTGTAAAGTTTTTGGTATCGATGAACTTACTCGAAGAAGACGATGGCCGAAAACGTATGATGAAACATCTTCTGGTATGCCTTTGACAATCGTTAAGTCAGACGGACGCTTCACATACGATATTTCACACATGGCTGGAATTCGTTAGCGGACAGAGCACACATTTAAAAAATATTTATCGTTCAGCAGAACGTGCATGCATATTCGATTCCGATTTTATGGGTCGATTACGGAGGACAACCGAACTTCAGTTGGTTGGCCAGTAACTGAAATGGTATTAAAGATGGCAACTAGTAACTGAAAGCTGGAAACTAAGTTGCTATATTGGCAAGTGCGTTTTTGTGGCTGCCGGGAGTTTTTGATTGAGATACTTTATTTCTTTTTTCAACTTTTTTTTTTAATTGTATCACCTTGAACTTTATGAAACTTAATTAATGCTATTCATAATAAAAAACACTTTCATTTCAGTGGCGCTGTCCATCGGCAACCCAACTGAGGTTCCGTTCCCATCCATAATCAATCCATAAGTCATAATCGCACGAACTAATCAAGGCTATCATAGAATCCATCGTAGTCCGATTTTTCGTGAAATCTACGAAAATGCTATTAAGGTCGAATAGCTACGAACGCAACACTTGCTTTGAATACACACGTTCATAGCAGTTCAGATTCAGTGATCGCTTTTTCGTAGATTTTAAGAAAAATTGGGCTACGATGGATTCCGCCACCAATATGTTTGCTCCTTTGACGAGATGTTGGAGAATCGCGGCAGCGCAGCCGTATACCTACTCTATGCTCTTACGCGCATATGCTAAATTTCTCGCACCTAGCTAAAGTGCTTGACAAAGGCAGAAGGCATATCTTCAACATTATAACTTGAAGTAAAAAAGTTTAAGGCATGCAATAAAAGAATCAACAGAACCAAAAAATGTCCTCAAAACTATTAAACATAAAAAATTGCCCGAATAAAATTCATAATTTAAAATAAAATATCGCAATTGTTTTTTATATGTACATACATATTTAAAAATGAATTCTTAAAGCACCCACAGTAAGTCCTAAACATATAAATGACTAATAAGAAAAATAATAAATAACAGTAATGTGAAAAAGTATGTCGAGAAATCTCTAAATAGTAGCGAAACTGTATCTCAATAATAAAAAATAATTTTTAGCAAAATATACAACCGATTTCAATGCGCATTCAGGTCGTTCCGGTTACGTAGATCCGACTGTCCTCCCTTTTTTAAATCGTTAAAAAAAAATTAATACGTATTCTACAGAAAAAAATCAAGATACATATTTGAGGATTTTAAGCAAAAATAAATAAAGGAAAACTTGTTCGTGATATCTCGACTAAGGTGTATTCATGATACAAAAATCTGAAGGTAAAACCGTTGAAAGGCAGCCTGAACATTTTTAAAGTTTGGTAACATTACAAAAATGTTTTCAAATTTCCAATCTCACAAATACATTCTCATTATCAGTGTCAAATAAATGAAAATTTCAATATTTTCATCTATTTGTTTTTTGTTTTACCTTTATTTGGCATTTGAGTTGCTCTCAAAATTTCAATTTTATAAAATAGACAAACTTCAAAAAGTAAATGATGGCCGACGAATTGTGCAAGCGGTTTTACCTTTAAATATTTGTATCATGGGTGTATTAACAACTCAGTGCGGCTCTCTTTTAAGATACTATTATGTAAAAAAATATAAACAAACGATTAAAATTTATAAAAATTTTTTCAATTTGACTTTATAGGATGGTTCTTCTGAGAGCAATGTCAAATTCAATCACACTTCGTTAAACACATTTTGATCTCTACCAAATAATGTACTTCCTCTGTAAATATTTTATGAAGTGTTCCAAAATTCGCTCCGGGCGCGCTACCCGTTGATCATTTGATTTAAATAGTTTGTCAAACAATTAATACTATAGTTTGATCGGAGTTAATATATTCTTCAGTAATGAATTATATTATATTAAAATATAAGCTGAAATTGTGCATATGGAAACTGTGCATACGAAATAATGCATATGAAAAAAACCGAAATAATGCATACGAAAAAAACCGAAATAATGCATATATGCACAGTTTCGGTTGAAAACCTTAATAATGCATATGAAAGAAACCGAAATAATGCATATATGCACAGTTTCGGTTGAAAACCGCAAAAGGCATATTAGAAAAACCGAAATTATGCATAAGCACTCTTTCGTTTGAAAACCGAAAAAATGCATATATGCACAGATCCGGTTGAAAACCGAAATAATGCATATGAAAAACCCGAAGTAATGCATGCATGCACACTTTCGTTTGAAAACCGAAATAACGCATAAGAGAAAAACGAAGTAATGCATACATGCACAGTTTCGGCTCAAAACCGAAATAATGCATATGACAAAAACCGAAGTAATGCATACATGCACAGTTTCGACTCAAAACCGAAGTAATGCATATGACAAAAACCGAAATAGTGCATACATTACTTCTTTCTTCTTTCTTTCTGAGTAGGCGGCCTGCGGCCGCGCTTAGGGATTATAACCCCTACTAAGTAGAACTCTCCTTTCTGTGTTGCCGGAAAAGCAGGGCGGAATAATTTTTGCGCAGACCTTTTTTCTGCGTAGGCGGCCTTCGGCCGCGCTTAGGGATTATAACCCTTACCAAGTAGAATTCTCCTTTCTGTGTTGCCGAAAAAGGGAGCCGGAAGTATTTTTGCGCAGAACTTCTTTCTGCGTAGGCGGCCTTCGGCCGCTATTAGGGATTATAGCCCTTACCAAGTAGAATTCTCCTTTCTGTGTGGCCGGAAAAGGGGGTTGGAAGTATTTTTGCGCAGAACTTCTTTCTGCGTAGGCGGCCTTCGGCCACGCTTAGGGATTATAACCCTTACTAAGTACAATTCTCCTTTCTGTGTTGCCGGAAAAAAAGGGCGGAAGTATTTTTGCTCAGAACTTTTCTCTGCGTAGGCGGCTTTCAGCCGCGCTTAGGGTTTAAAACCCTTACTAAGCAGAAGTAAATAATTCATATTAGAAAAAACGAAATTATCCATATGCACACTTTCGTTAGAAAACCGAAATAATGCATATAACAAAAACCGAAATAATGCATGCATGCACAATTTCTTTTCAAAACCGAAATAATGCATATGGCAAAAAACGAAATAAAGCATACATGCACAGTTTCGGATGAAAACCGAAATAATGCATATGTGAAAGACGAAGGTATGCATACATGCACAGTTTCGGTTGAAAACCGAAATAATGCATATAACAAAAACCGAAATAATGCATGCATGCACAGTTTCGGTTGAAAACCGAAATAATGCATATGAAAAATCCGAAGTAATGCATACATGCACAGTTTCGGTTGAAAGCCGAAATAATGCATATGAGAAAATACCGAAATTATGCATATGCATACTTTCGTTTCAAAACCGAAATAATGCATATGAAAAAAAACGAAGTAGTGCATACATGCACAGTTTCGGTTTAAAACCGAAATAATGCATATGGCAAAAACCGAAATAAAGCATACA